ACCCCCGCCAAAGCCCAGCAGTCCAAGGACACTAACCCAGCACAGCCTGGTGGGCCAACTGTGGGGCATGCTAACTCCCAGGCATTGATAACTAACGATGTCCCTCCTCCTCCCTCGCTGCCCCTGCCCCTCCGCCCGCTCCCAGGAAACCCCTGAGAAAGGAGGAGAATGGCACCAGCGTTGCGGAGTACCCCATGACGACCTCGCAGAGCAACAAGGGCGTGGACGTGAACAACGCCGTGGTGTGAGTGTGGCCCGGACCGCTGGCCCGAGGGCACCTCGGTGGCGCTAGTGGACAGGAGCTGACACTGCGCTTGTCCAGGACGTCATTGCCTTGCCCGCCTCGAGCCTCACAAAGGAGAAAGCATTCTCTTCCAGCCATGCCCTGGGGCAGGGGGAGCGCAGCCCCGGGCCAGCCGGCTGCCTGCATGCAGCCTCCGGGCACCACCCCCAGGCTCCCCGCACCTCTCACCTTGTGTTCCAGCTGCTGTCTCCCAGCTACTGTCTAAAACACACGCTCTGTCGAAGGCAGAGGGTCTGTCTGTCCGCCGAGTTGGGGGAGGCGTCCCCCTTTAGCCCAAAGAAAGGCAATCCAGGGGCCACTTCCCTGCCAGGAAACCTCACCTCGCCCCCAGGAAGCCCGCCTGCGGCTCCGTTGACTGTGCCCTTCCCAACAGAAGCCATCGGCACAGCCAGGAGACGTCCCCTTTCTAAGGTGCTTCCCACACACCTGTCTGTCGCCCCACCTGCTATCGTCTTCAGCCTTCAGGGCCGTCTTCTCCCCCTGTCCCCACCCGCACCCTGGGCCCCTGGGTCCCGCCTGACTCCCCAGTCCTGCCACGGAGGGCTGAGTCCGGACTGCAAAGTCCCCTCCCTAGGAACTGACCCGTCCGTGTGAGCCAGGTCCTGCCTTCATCGGCAGGGGCCACCACCGTGCCAAACCCGCTGCGGGCGTCTGGCTGGGCCGAGCGGCCTGGCGCTGGCTCCCCGATGCTTCCTTCCCTGCAGCCCTGACCGGGGACTCAGAGCCTCTCCTGACAGTCCCAGGCCTCCCTTCTTCCAGGAGATGGCGTGCCTCGGTGGCTACCTGGAGTCTCTTTCCGAGCTCTTAGGTTCTAAAAGTGCCGAACCCTCCACCGTGGTTGGTGGATGACGGGAAGGAAAGGGTGACAGGCGAGGGACCCTGCAGGCCTGTTGCCCAGGAGGCCACCCACCCCTGTGGGCACATCACTCGGCCAGGGAGACAGTGGCCCTGTGGGTTTGCATCCCCTGGTGGATTGGGAGAGCGCCCTGACCCGTGGTTCCCTCACCACCACACCCTCGCTAGGAAGGGACCAGACGCGTTCAATGGTCCCGCTGTCTGGCCAGGGAGCAATGCGGGTGGACCCAGTCCGCCTCGCAAACTACCAGTGGTTCCGTGGAGGGCTTGGGGCTGCAGGCGAGACCTTCACATCGAGGTGAGACGGACGGACTGAAATCCAGTCCCCACTGGGGCTGAACCTTGACACACCCATTGTCCGGAGCCCTGTGCCCACTGAGCTGTCTGTTCCGCTCAGGGCAGAGGTGAGTGTGCTCTGACCCTGACCCTAACCCTGACCCTGTCCTGCTCCAGGTCAGCAGGGACGGGCTGAGGACAGGCCGGGGATCCCCTCCCAGGAAGGGTTGTTTCTTCTCAGTTTCCCTTCTGTGTGAGGATTTGCTTGGGGTTTGGATCTGGTTTTGCTTTCCCTGCACACCCCAGCATGGCACGGTGCCACCGTGGCCTTCATTCTTGCCCCCGGCCTGGTGAGCACCTCCCAGTTCTCCTGCTGGATGCCATCACTTTCCCCGGGGATGCACCCCTGGGTGACAGGCCAGAGAATGTGGGTGCTCAGCAGGCAGACCCCACTCCAGCGCAATCCTCCCACCGCTGGCACGGCCTCTGAGTCCCCTGCCTGGTCCCTGAGCAGATGACTAGCAGGACCCCGGCCCTGAGCACATGCCACCCTGAGCTCAGAAGTGATGGAGGGCACCTTCGGCCAGAGCGGGGATCCTGGCTAAGGGGTCCTGGAGAGGATCAAGGGGGGCAGGCAGACCCACTGATCCCAGCTTCCCTGACCTTGATTTAAACCTAAAAGCCCAGATTTTGCAATTAGTCTAATCGGCCGACCCCCAGCGAACCATCCACCAGGCTTTGGGGGCCCCTGTCTCCTTCCCGGGGACACAGCCAGAGCTCTGAAAAGCTAACCGTGGAGAGCAAATTCCCCCAAGTTGGGTTTGTCCCATCTCTTCCCTGGGGTGTGCAGGGAAAACAAGAGAAGAGCTTTTTTTAAAGGATTTTTTTGAGAATCCCCCAACCCAAGAGCCAGTCCTTCGGAGACAGCTCTCAGGGTGCAGCGAGAGAACCCCGCGGATCTCAGCCTAGGCGACAAGCGTCCATCCAGCCGCTCCAGCCTGGCGTCGAGCTTAGAACGTTTACGTCAGGAACGTGCCTGTGACCCCCAGACAGACCCGTCCTCAGCCTCCTCCAGACGGGGAGGCCGAGAACGAGACGCATTCCTTCTCTGCAGTCTCTCTAACAGATCTTTCCAGCCATGTCGCCTGGCGGAGCCCAGCTTTAGAACGGCAGATAGGACCTCCCAGAGTCTTCAGGTGTTAACGTAGGAGCTTCTAGGGCAGGGGTGGGAGGTCCCACCCCTCTCCCGCCCAGGGCCATTTGGATATTTACAACATCCGTTCACAGGCCACCCAAAATCATCAACGTAAAAATGAGCCTGCTGTATGCGGCCAAACATTTCATTAACTCACCCCTGATGCCTTGGCAGGGCCACACCCAACGGTTTTGCGGGCCTCAATGGCTCCTTCCCCACCCCTGTTCTAAAGCAAGTTTTGGAAGAAAGACTAATGGCTGTAAAAATATAAACATATATAGTTATATATATTTAAAGAGATACCAATATATACGCAAAATTACTGTACTCTACGAACCCGTGCAGAGTGTGACTTGCGTGGTTCCTAATGCATGAGTGTAAATATCTGCGACCTGCCTTCCTACCGGTGCCGGGCACACGGGAAGCCGGCTCCTGGCCTCCGTCCGTCTCAGTGGGCGTGTGGGCGCCCATCCGTCCACCGAGGAGCCCATGGTGTCAATTTTGTGCTGAGACTTTGCACACGAAGTAGGACCGGCAGCGTTTGGGGGGGAGGGAGGAGAGCTGTTTGTTAATTACGGGGAAGAAAGCATCATGCCTTTTTTATTTTCAATAAAAACGTACTTGTAAAGATGGCTGCAGTTGTGGGGTGTGGTGGGGGCTCTGTCCTGAGAGGGGGTGGGAGGCGCGAACAGGCTGAGGGTGTGTGGGTGGGGGGGGTGACCCCCCCTCCCCCAGGACCTGCTGGGCACCCAGGGCTGGGCTGGGTACGTGGCTGGCTCGCTTCTATATGGTTTCTACTAACAACCCAAAGCTGGCATTTATGGGGATTCTCAGGCTCCAAGCCTGTCCTTCATCCCCTCACCGCCACCTCTGTCCTTGACTCAGCTGAGAAGACGGTGACCGGCCTTCCCAGTTTGCCTGGGATGGGGAGGTTTTCCCAAAATGTGGGACTTTCAGGGTTAAAACGGGAAAGGTGCCAGGCAGACAGGACAAACCAGGCACCTTAACTTGACAAGCGCTCACAGAAATCCTGGGGGACAAGAACCAGCGGGCCCGCTGGAGAGGAGACGGGTTAGGCCCGCAGTGGGTGGCAGCCGTCATTGACGTTACTGTCACGGTGTCGTTAAGAAAAGGCTGCCTGCCATCCCGGCTCGAGTGAGGGCTCCCTGTCCACCAGCCCCCGACATGGTCCTCCCGTGGAGGTTGGTGAGGACTCGGCGGACACCTCTAGCTCTGTACTCACTCCGGTGCACCCAGCCCGGCCGGACTCACAGCCGCAAGCGCCAAGGCCAGCCGGGCACGAGCAGGGTCAGCGGCCTCGTGTGCGAGCTCTGCCATCTGGCAGGCACCCTGAGACAAGCACGGAGCAGGGCGGGACCCTCCTCGCACCACGTCCACCTCCACCTCGAATCTCCGGGGCTTCTGGCCACTGGTTCCAGCGCTGGCATCCAGCACAGCCAACAACGACAGCGCTCGGCGTCGGACTCTGCCTGTTCCCTGGGCCGCTCACCTGTGCGCCGCCGCGGAGGCATGGGACACCCCGAGTCAGCCTGGACCCGGGCACGTGGCGGAGGGCCTGTCCTGACAGCAGGCGGCCGCAGGAGGGTCCCCTGCGTGGGGAGCACTGCGCCCGGTTCCCAGTCGCTGTGGCCTTGGACACGCTGACTCACCCACCCTGCTAGCGACCACCCACTGGGCCACCCGCTTGCCCTTCTCTCCCATCCTCCACGCAGGCACGGAGCGGAGCGCCTTTATGCTCTCCTCCCTCCTCCCAGACCAGCTCTCTAGGGTCCATCCTAGACAAGCAGTGCCTCTGAGCGGGGCTCCCAGCTCCTCGGTAACTGCCTTTAATCGGTAGACGCCTCTCCAGGCTCCCCCTCGCCACCCCCCATCCTATCAAACGCACAGGACTCCCAAGTGTGTACTTTCCAGTCCCAATGGCCAGCTCATCTCTGCAGCAAGTTTGTCCTGCCAGGACCTTTGACTCCCCCTCCAGAACCTCTCGTCATCCCAACTTCCTCCTCTCCACACCTGCCTCAAGGCCCCTCATGCCACAGTCATCCCTCATGCCTCTGCCTCAGACAAGCGGCCAGTAAACCAGCAAGTCCTACCAGCTCGTTCTCCAGAACACAAATCCGTCTGCTTAGCTCAGCTCCCTCCACCCGGTCCCCGAGCCACCGCTTCCGCCTGGACGGCCATGAGGGCCCCCGGCCAGCCCTGCTTCACCTCTGCAGCCCCACGGCCTCTCCCACAAAAGCCAGAGGCTGCTCACAACAAGTCAGATTGTACCTGAGTTCAACGCCTGCCCACCAGTTCCCACACTGAAAAGTAACGCCGCAGTTCTTACGGGGGCTCACAAGGCCCTTCCTACCTGGCCCCTGCCTCTCCCTCACCCTGCCTGTCCCCCCTTCCCCACCCCCGCTCCTGCCCAAGGCAGGTCCCCACAGCCACTCTCCCCTGGCTGTGCTTTCTGCTGCACCCGGCAGTCTATTCTAGCACCTTGATTTGCTTTCACTCCTGCGCTTCTCTCCACCTAAGAACCTTCTCTCCACTAAGAACACTTGCTTTCTCCTCCGTGGCTGGCCCAGGAAATATCCGTAGGATTGATTAATGAATGAATGAACGGTGGGTTACACATTTAACATGCAGCATAAAGAAAAGAATATAGCATTTTATTTCACATAACTTCAGAACCCCCACTTCATTGAGTGTGGCGGGCTGGGGAGTCGGAAACCTTGAATTTGCAAAATGATGGTGTCTGGGCCTCTTCTGATTTAGCGAGTCCCTCTCGGATAGGTTCTCGGTCTGTGTGCCGTCTTCCAGGCGCACTCCTGGGCAGGTGTCTGGCCAACCGGGGGAGCTAGGCTGGGGAATGGGTTCCCCAGAGAATAAAGAACATAACTGTTTATTAGCCTCAAAATGTTGCCCATTACAAACACCAGGATGTGTTCACGCCAGTGAAGAACAGACGATAGCGGGCGCACCGCGTGGAGGAGGTTCCCCGGCGCTCATTCAGAGAGGCCTGGGGGAGCCTCGAGCCCCCACGCGGTGCAGCAGCGCAGCCCTGAGAGCCCGAGTCCCATGTGAGCTGCGATTTCATTGGCAAAACACCAGCTGCCACATGGCCTCGCCAGCAGGGGAAGAAACGGCTGCTGGTCGGGGGCTCAGCAGCACAGGGCACCCAGGGGCAGCAAGACCCCGGCAAGGCAAGGTCTGACTCCTGTTCTGACCCCTCCCCGCGCTCCCTGCCTGGCAGGCACCATTTCTCTCACTCTTTACAACGTGCTGGGGCAGAGGAAACACCACCTCATTTTGTGGTCGGTGAAACAGGCTTAGCAAGGTTAAGTGAGGGACTGGTCGGTGGTCAGACAGCGGATCAGTAAAGGCCAGAATGGACCTGGCTGCAGAGCCTGGGGCTTATGTCCCCACCCGCCCCCCTACTCAGCCCTCCGGCCCAGGCCAGTGCCGAGCGCCCACCTCTGGGCTCACCCTGGGTCTGGGACCAGGCCAATTCCCCTCTGTAGAGCCCCCCACCCCCTCACCCCCAGCTGGGCAGCGTGATTGTCCTCACCTGCAGTGTTTCTGTCCTTCAGGCTTGATTACTCGCTGCCTCCTTTCCTTTCCAAGAGGCCACTTGAAGGAGCGGAAATCAGGGCGTCTGCCAGGCAGCCCGGGAGGCCCTTCTCCACGGCCTGCCTGCGGGCCCGTCTGGACTGTGTAATTAAAGAGCCAGCTATTCATTCAGCCACCTCGGAGGCTGTTGTCCATGTCCTGTGTGCCCTGCAAGGAAGGGCTGGTGCCAAGCCTCACCTGGAGCCTCCGCCTGACCTCCGCCTCCCTGGGCCGGAAGGAACCAGGATGCTGGTGGGCTGGAGAGACCAGCCGGCCTGAAGTGAGGCCAAACTGACCGGTGCAGGGGTGCAGGGCCAGGTCCCCAGCCCGGGCCCATGCAGGTGGGGAACAGGAGTGCACCGGGGAGAGGGGGCCCCTAGGCACTAAGAGCACGGCCCCAGTCCTGCAGTGCCACCGTCTCGTTGAGTGGCACGGGGTACATCCCACCCCATCCTGGGCCCATACAATGCGAGGTCAGTCCAGGCGGGTGGCACGCCAGGCCTCGAAGCCAGCCCAGTGGCAGCAGGGTTTCTGCCAAGAGGCTGCTGGGCCGCTTCCTGCTGGAAGGCAGAGGTCAGCAGTGGGAACCACACAAAACTGGAGCCTGCGTGCCCCGCCGGACGTATTCAAGCCAAAGGGAGAAAGTAAAAGCTCATCAAACAAAATACGCTGTGGGGCCAGCTCGGCCAGTGGCTTCTGCTGGTGACGTCTGGTCTGCGTGAGTCTAGGTGACCTTGCTGGTCAGGTGAGTAGCGAAGGACTCTACCTATCACTTAACTGCCAGGATTAGGGATCGAAAGAACCAGGGCTTTGGAGGCAGACATAACCGGATTCAAATTTTGCTCTTCCTTTTACCGACTCCTGCAAATACTCATGGAGCCTCAGTTTCCCCATCTGTAATACGGGGTTAATCATAGAAGGGCCTGCCGCAGGTCACTTTTATGAAGACTGAAGGCGGTTAGTGTATCTAGCCTGCCTGACACGCAGTCCACACTCAGATGTGGTAGCTATGGTTACAGTTAATTTGGGGCAGGTCTCCTAGGGTTGAGTGAACTCTCAACAGGCCCCCAATCTAACAGAGTTCATCGCCACAGTTTTTAACTCATAAAATTTTATTCTTTCTCATAAAACAATTAAGTGGGAAACTACATGTGATTTAATTGGTGGGTTATATTATTTTTCAAACTAATGAATTCCCAAAGCCAAGGGGAAGAAGACGCCTTTGCCAGATGAAATGACACTGGCTCAGTGAAAATTTATGATAGGAGATCAATAAACAGAGGTCCCAACAAGATGGAACTGCCTCAAAAGAGCCCACGGATTCTCTACCCATGTTCCTGGCACATTTCAGCCCAAAGAGGGCACAACACAAAAAAGGGAAGAGAAATTAACATTTATCAAGTGATACTCTGACTGGGAGTCAGATGGCCTACTGGTCCTAATGCTACTACTGACAGCTGCAGGACCTTGGATAAGTCACTTAACCTCTGGGCCTCAGTTTCTTCACCTGCAAAATGGGAATAACAATAACACCTACCTCATGGGAAGGAGAGAGCTGAGAGGAGTAAACATCATGTACGTAAAGCGCTATACCACTCACAGGAGGCTCACTGCTACCCTGTCAGTAAGAGGAGCTGGCCAGCCTCTTCCTAACAACACCTCAGGGTTCAACTTTCATAAAAACATCGTTTGTTACTAGTTCCAACCACTCCCTTCATTCTTCTTAAGACCATTACTGTCACCCGGCTGGTGTGGCTCAGTGTTTGAGCCCGGAGGTGATGGTTCAATTCCCAGTCAGGGCACATGCCTGGGTTGTGGGCTCCATCCCCAGTGTGGGGGGTGCGGGAAGCAGCCAATCAATGATTTTCTCTTATCATTGATGTTTCTACCTATCTTTCCCTCTCCCCTCCCTTCCAACACAAATATATTTTTAAAAAGACCATTACTGTCAAGACACTCAGTCTGCTCAATTTACATATTTGCGAATTAATTCTATGAAAGAGGTATATTAAATGATCTG